CATTCACACCTATGGGCAATTTGGATTAACCAATTAACCTATCCCCACTAAGTGCATGTCTTTGGACAGTGGGAGGAAGCCGGAGTACCCGGAGAGAATAAGTGAATATGTTCTGTTAACTCAAAAGTATAACGAGAACTAAACTACATACAGCTCACACACTCTATATTAAAGGGTATAATATGATCTACAGCAGTATTCTAATTCAACTACTTTGATTACATATATAAGGTAACATATAATAACAGAATAATATCACAAAGGTCAGTACTTCTACGCTTTAAACGCTGCACGCTCATACTCTCTCCCACAATCGATATGTGATCCATTGTTGATCTGCACACAGCTGTTGTCACTAACGGCGCACTCGCTTACGTCACTGTCGTGAGACATTCTCGCAAAAAATCACGGTTTTAGTAACGCAGTAACGCAGTGTTCCTACGGAAAGTAACGGTAATCTAATTACCGTTTTTGCAATAGTAATCCCTTACTTTACTCGTTACTCGAAAAAAGTAATCAGATTACAGTAACGCGCCCATCTCTGTTTACAACAAGCAAACAAAAAAAACTCCACCACACAAATACCAAGAAATTAAGAAAGTGTTCGATGATGAATCCTAATGAACAGCACAAGCAGCAGCACTTTCATTAGAAAAATGGTTGTACATCTTTCTGACAGTGAATGTCATACCTGTCGAGGAAATACTGACTAACGGTTACAAAAAAATACATGAAGCAGCTGTAGTAGAGGTAATAGGAGTCTAAATAATAACATTTTAGACAGATCTTCAAGCTGTTTCTAAACTTCTAGTGTGTTTACAGTAAAACAAAAGTCAAACCAAAGAGGAAATATATATAAATGTGATACCTTTGCCACTCAAAAACATCAGGAACACTTTGGTGTGTGGTTTGTGACTGGCATGTCTATGTGGCTAAAGGCTGTGTTAATTATATTATGTATAAAATAAAACAAAAAGAACTTTGACCAGAACTACAACTTTATTGGATTGGAGAAAAAACAAACAAGAAAAACCCCAAAAGAGTGTAAAGCGTCTGATACTGTAACAGTGCAACAAATCTAACTCCATGTTACACTATTTGTAATGAATGAAAACTACATCTCCTACTACAAATACATAGAATCATGGTTATAAATGCAGCTATTAACATTACTGCCTCTGTTAAATGATGAATTTGAGGTTTTCCATCCTAACCAGACTAGATGGTATTTTCTAACGATACCATGAAAACATAAAGGCTAGTCAACAACAACTGCACAGAAAATAACTACGATACAACGGTTGATGAAGGATAAAGTCATCTTTCAGTGATGTCTTGTTGGTTGGGAGTGGACTGCCCTACCCTGAAAGGAAACACAAATATTTAGTACAGGGAAGTACCAGTACTATGGAAGTATTTTTGATAGTAGTAGTAGATTAGAATACTAGAGTGATACTGTTTGTTGCATTAGTAGGTACTATTATTGGATAATTAAAGATGGTCTTGGAGGCTGTGACATACATTATTGGTGAAAGCTATATAGGTCAAAAATACTTTAAACAACATGAATGGGATGGGCACGTTTGAATCTATTGTGGATTTCCCCCCACATAGTCAAAAGTATAGTCACATAGCCAACAATCCAATTTTTTTTTTTCATGTGCTATGTGCAGAGGTGTTTTTTTTCTGTTCTCAAACTGATCTCCCTGTTGGAGCTCAGTCTGGGGGGAGTTATTTTTTTCTCCTTATCTTTCCTCATGTGGTGCATTTTCCATTGTTATACCTCTCTGACCTGTCTTCCCCATGTGATGTTTTTGTGTAATGTATGTATGGTCGGAGGGTAAGATGGCGCCGCCATTGCGTGCAATAGGTCGGCAGCCTTAACATGAAATTTCCCCTTGTGGGACTAATAACGTTATCTTATCTTATCTTATCTTATCACCTTGAGCAAGCACTTAAAGACAGCAGGAAAGAAAAACTCCCTTCTAACAGGGAGGAACCTGAGGTAGAATCAGGCTTAGCCTTCAACTTCAACCAGTTATTCTTATTATTAACCCAAAGGTTTTGTGGTTTGTTCAGACAGAAATTCCCGAAGCTAAGCTGTGCTGCCATGCTCCTTTTACAGGAGTTGTTCAACCCTTCTAAACAAGCCATCCTTGTTGAAACATTTTTGTTTGTTTATATTTGTTACGGCCCTAGCAGGAAATTGACCTCTTGTGGGTGTGTCCTGGCATCTCTCCTGCCTTAGGTGCCACCCTTTTTGTACAGCTGATGCTAATCAGCTATTAAGAATACTTAAGGCCAGAGAAAGGTGAGCTCTAGTGTCAGGGCCTTGGTGGTATTGTAGCTGTGAGCTGTGTGTGGTGGTTGCTTCTGCTCTGTGGAGAGGGGTCTGTTTTGGTGACTAAACCTTTTTGGACCTTTTAGTTTAGTGACCAACCCCTGGATTTTGATGTTTTCTTTCGTTAAAATATTATAACAGCTTTTCCATCTCTTGTGGTTTAATTACAATAGAAACATTAATGAAACCTTTTAATCTGGCAATTCTGCCTCCCTGTATCCTTTTTTTCAACCCGGACACTTTTTTATTGCTTTACCACATCGCTTGGACAGTTTAGGTGAACATACCAGTTTGTTTAGTCATATTTTTCACAAGCCTTTACACACAAAGAAACACACACAAAAGTAGTACCTAATAGGAAAAGCTAATAGTACAATAGTATAGTTGTGAAAAGTAGAATTATAAAAAGTATCAAATAAAAAATGTTAGAAAACTTAAATGAAATAATCTGTTTGTTTGTTTTTTATCATTCTAATTTTTTAAAGACAAAATAATCGTGTTTTCATTTTGTGATTATATCTCACTGCAGGTTAATAACTGTGAATGGGACTAAAATCATTCATTCAGTTTACATTGTAGTTTCTAGTTTTTGAAGCCTTACCTTTCAAATTATGAGTCTTGTTAGTAATAGCAGTGGTTTAATTACCTTCACATCCTGCAGCGGCTCTGGTACATCATAGATGTGAAGTGAGATATCATCCCTCTGGTTGCTGTAGCTTTTCCTCTTCAAGCACAGCAATATACAAGAAAAAGCTGCCAACAGATCACTGAGTTACTTCATCTTTCATTCAGCCCAAATGTTCAATGAGCTTTTATTTAATTAGATTCATTAAAAAATAACAGCCTTTAAGGCTAGCTGTGGTGACCAGGATAACTTATCTAGGTCATGGTCTAGCGTTTAGTGACTCCATTTATTGTTTTGCATTTATTAATTTTTAGAATTTTTTGAGTTTTCTGGGTTTTTGTTTTTGTTTTTTCCATTCTGTAAGTGTTCTCTGTGTTCCCTTTGTGTTCATGCCATTTACATTGACAGTCCCTTGTCTCATGTCTTAAGTGTGAACCCTTCCAGCTGTGCTCTCCTCTTGTGTCCCATGCATTTTAACCCTGTGTTTTTCTCTGTCAGTTTCATGTCCTCCCCTCATGCTATGTGTGTCTCTTCTCCTGTGCTTCCTCAGGTCGCCGTCTGTAGTTTCCCCGTGTTTTGTTATTAGTTCCAGTTTCTAGGTTTTGGTTCAATTTTGTAAGGTTTTTTGTGCAAGTTGCTACTGCAATAAAGCAGCCTCTCTACGTTTATGAAGTCAGTAGTGTGCAAAAAAACTATAGTAGTTTTCAGGGCCTTTGATCACAGGAAATGATTAAGCTAGGTGGTATCTGCTGTATATACATGTAAATGTGTTAATAATGTCTTTTAAATGGTTTTTGGATGATTATTTTCAAAGTGGTTTGAAATAAGATATCTCCCTCTGCTGTTACTGCAGCTTCTGCATGCGTGTGTCCATTTCAGGTTTTCAAGAGGCCAAGTGTGAAATGGACACAGTGGACCGGAATGTCTATTACACGCTTTGCCATGATATTGGGTTGGACCACAAAATCTACTAAAATTGTAAAATAACAGACTCACTGATTATTAGAACAATGAAGGCGACAACTGACATAGATATGGTGATCAACAGACTGAAAAAGCAGTTGTTTTGTGGGTTGTTGGCAGGCCGAGTGACATCTGGAAAACAGAAAGGACAAAGATAAGTTAAGAAGCATTTATAAGTAGCATGGTGGCACTGGTTAAAGCACTCTTATGCAGGCCAATGTAAACAAAAAAACAAGCCTTTTCTTTCAAGCTTGTGCAAAATCTTATAAAAGAAAGAAAGCAAACTGGGAGAAGGCAAATTGAAAATTGATAACGAAACACACAGGGAGGAGAAAGAAGTGCTACAACCGACGAAAGGCAAGGTCAAGATTACAAGTATCTAAACACATGAAAGTAAACAGTGTAGTCGGATTGGGAGGGTAATGGGTCACAGGCAGCGAAGGAGGTGAAACAAAGCAAGGTCTAAATCGCTACCAAACCGAAACAGGAATTGAGAAACACTAAACAGGAAACTCATATACTCATATAAAAACAGGAGTATGGCTCATGTGATTAGGCAGATGGTCAATAGTGGGTCTGTGACCCTCATAAGGGACAACTCGCAATGGTCTCAGAAATCTGGGACTCTGTCCCAATTAGTCGTAGAACTGATTAAACTTCTCAGATAAGACATGAGACGTCTTTAAGAAACTCAAAGAAGTCCAGTCACTTTTCTTTCCAAGCTCCTTGGTTTGCAGGAGCAAGTCTTAACAGCACACCAGTTTTCCTAAACCAAAACAAGTAGTTTTTGGTAGCTAAATGTTTAGTGTGTGTGTGTGTGTGTGTGTGTCTGTGTGTGTGTGTGTGTGTGTGTGTGTGTTTCGTGCGTGCTGTGTACCTGTTTGTGTGGGTGGTCACAAATTTGAAAACTTACCACATGAACTAATTTCCTTTGTGTTCATAATAGCACTTAGTAATGCCTATTAAGGTCAGACTTAAAAACAAACGTTTGCATGTAATAATCTTGTACTATCACAAGTCAGTATAAGAAGTCGTCCCAAAATTCCTCAACTTTCAAGTTATAATAAAAAAAGTATGGTTTCCGACAGTAACATAAACTACTTACTTGTGTATTTAAGATGTTGTCAGCCATTTGAAAATGTGTATTGAGGCCTAAACACTCACTAATCCAACAGCAATAATCAGAAATAAACTCTTGTACTTACTTGAGACGAGGTTGAAAGTGTCCACAAACTGAGTGCTGCCTCCTCTCTTGATGCCACAGAAGTAAAGCCTGCAGTCCTCTGCTGTCAAGTTTTTAATCACGAGTTTGTTTCCCAGGATTGAAAATTTAGTTTCAAAATCAGGAGAGCAGTAGGTAGAGTCTGCTGTAGAAAAACTGCGGCTGATACATGCTCTGAACTGACTGTGGATCTCCATGTACCAGTGTGTGTCTGATGTCTGATTGGAGCAGGTTAGAGTGACATTGGTCCCCAGCTCTTCTCTGACCTTGGTCACGTTCTCGGCCTCTGCACAGAGCAGAACCACCAACAGGATCATCCACAGGAGAACCATGATCAGCTTCAGCATCCACAACAAGACGGAGTCGTCTGAAAGCAGCTCAGCTCTGATGGACTCTGACACAGAAGTGCTCTGTACTTCCTGCTTGACATGGTGACTTTGGGCAGTGGCACGTCTGATAAAGAAAACCCACAAACACCTTACATCTCTCACAGGATGTTAAACTTTATCGCCTCTGGCTAGCACTTTGCCCTTTGGGTTAAAAGAGACTTTAAATTTAAACAGGTTGTAACAGGTTCTAACAGCTTCCTTCTGCTGTTCTGGTTTAATAACAAGAGCGAGGCTATTTTATTTTCAATATATCTGTGCAAGAAATGAACCAACAGTCCTAAACAAATCATAAAACCATCCTAATAGGTTTCAGCTTCTTATTACTGCTGTGAAGAAGAAACGCTCAGTGCATCGTGGAAATCCCACAGCAGCCTGGGCCTATTGCAGAGTAGGGGAGGGTTCAGGGTCACCTGATCCAGCCTTACATGCTATAGGTCCATATAAAAAGGAACGTTTTAAGCCTATCTTTAATAGGTGTTTGTCTCCTCTATCCAAACTGTAAACTGCTAGTGAGAAAGAAAAGTGTGAAGAACACTGAAGGGTCCTTAATCACCAGAAACGATTAACACTTTCCTGTGACTATTTTCCTGCTTGAAATCCAGTATCTCCCTCTGCTGGTACTGATGTTACCAGTACCAGCAGTACCAGCAGATTACTGTAACTTCAGCATGTGTGTGTATTTGATGTTTTGTGGAGGCTAACCTTGAAATGCACATGGTAAATTGGTATGTCTGGTGCACCTCTTGCCCTGATACTGATTTGAATAAACATTTAATCAGAAGTTCACTGGGGGTCAATTCTTGACTCGTCAATTTTTTCATTGCTCTAAATTGATACTGTCAAGAAGAATCAAAATAAAGCCTGCCACTCTAATGCAGAAGATACACAGTTGTATTCATATTTGCTGATCCAAACAGTCAGAGAGATTCATATTAACCATCCCTGTCTCAGAAGCACAGTGAGCAAGTCAGGAATCTTGGCCTTATTTTGGACTAAGATCTGGATTTTTACAAAAAACATCAACAAAGTTACCAGAACTGTTTTCTATAATGTAAAAGTCTGATCTGAAAAGGGCTCTGAGAAATTGGGAAAACTGTGATGCTCTATTTCAGGATTCAGCAGCAGCAGCAGTATGTGTAGGCACAAAGAAAGAGCTTCCACAAACATGGAAATCTGACCATATTACTCCAGCTGTCTGCTGACCTGAGTCCACACATCTACTCATACACTTAGAAACCCTTTAGTTATCATAGGCTTACACATAATAGCTGTCTGCTTTTGTGCGCGCATGTGTGTGTGTGTATGCTAATTTGTATTGCTTTTACTTCTTTGTTTTTTATTTACAGTGAGACACTGTGGACCTATATAGTTTCTTATGTTTTTATCTCTTGGTGCAGACATTACATGTAATTCAATTTGCTCTGTAAATAAATTTGGCATGTGCATTTTTTTGGTTGGTTTAAACTTGGTTTAGCTGATATAAAGGGTTAATGGAGAGAATTTTGTAAAGGAGCTACGGTGCATCGCTATCCAGTGCAGATGTACTTAGCAGGAGAACTCAAGACAAGACTGCTCAATGAAGTTCCACCATTAATTAATGCTTCAATCATAAATACTATATCTATTAAGGGGCTATGTGCCACGGTAGTTAAAGCTGGCAATAATTAAATAATTTCTTAAAATGCCATCACTTTGAAACAGCCATCTTGGCTAATTACAGGCCAATCTTTAACCTTACTTTCATCTCAAAATGTCTTGAAAGAGTAGTTATAAAACTGCTTACTGAGTTTTAATCAGGTTTCAGAGCTCATCACAGTACACAAACAGCTTTAGTGAAGGTTAACAACTAGTGGCAAGCCATCACTGTCCCTCGTTGCTTTGGAGAAGCTCAGGGGGAAGAGATGGAGGAAGGTGTAAGGTCTCTGGTACAGGACTTGCGCTTGAAGGACAGACCGCCTGATTTTTGAAAAATGTCTCTCTTTTTGGGGGGAATCTAGACCAAAATGTGTGGTCCGAGAAAAAAATCACATTTCTATACATTTAACTATAGTTTTTATTTCAAAATGTAACATTGAATCCAATTGTTATGTGATCTGACACTTCAAGTAATGTAAAGAGTACCATAATACTGCTACAAAATAAAACACAAGCGTGCACCCTTTGGTACTACCAGTGGCATGCAATAACCTTTATAGGAAGTAAAAGAAGAAATGAGGAACAAACTTTTACATGAAAGAAAGCCAGAGAAACATGAAAGCTTGCTGCACTCCTTCCTTGGCTGACAAACTGTAAAATCTGTCACTTCTCTAGTGATCACCTTAAAATTTGCCACTAGCAGACAATGTCAATGACAGGGCACTGGGTCTGACTACCCAGTGTTTGTGTTTTTTGGGTTTAGTTATACTTTTTGAGTTTTGTATTATACAGTTCCTGGTTTCTAAGTTTCTGTTCTCAGTGTTTTATGCCCAGGCTTAGTTTTGTCTCTATGTCTTTCCTGTGTCCTGTGTCCTGTTACTTTTGTCTCTGTGCTTCATGTCCCCACTGTTCCCACTGTCTGTCATGTTTCTATGTCTCAGTATCACGTCCACGTCTATCTGTCATGCTTCCTGTGTTACTTTGCTACTCCAGTGTTCAGTGTTTTTGAGTTTTGCTTTTCCCCTGTCTCATCACGTCAATTAGTCCCACATGTGCGCTTCCTGTTCCCCATCCTCTCGTTAGCCGGCCTGTGTATGTTAGTCCTCAGTCTTCCCCTGCTTGTTGTCATGTCTGTAACCCTTGTGGGCATCCTCCTTGCTGTGTGTTTTTTCCTGTATGTGTGAAGAGTCATTTACAGCCAACATAAGTCTGCCTCTTTCAGTTCACCCTTTATTTATCAGTCCTACATCCTGCCTGCTACACCGCAAATCCATGACAGTCAAAAGGTAGAGGATTATTTTAAGAAAAAGTAACAAAAAAAAAATCCTATGAAAGCCCCACTACACATGTAACTGTAGCTGTATATTGTGAATTATTATCAAATGGATTTCATGGATTATTAAAATATTAATATGATTAATATTACTGCTGCAGATGTTTGAGCCTGAGCTCACTTTAAATACTTTCTATGCTGTTTAATTTCAGGCAGTGCGTCACGCTCTGTGAAATCAGGTGCTTGTAATTTGGATTTCCTGTCATCATGTATCTCAAAAAAAGAAAAACAAAACAAAACTCAGTAGTTCAAGCATTAATCTTGATGTATACAATTAAAAAATGTAATTAAAAGGGTTGCATGACTAACTGGTAATATTTACAGCAAAACTGGTTAAACTTTGTGCATTCATTCAGCCAGTTAATTTCTCAGAGACGCTGGTGCAGTCTGAACCTGTTTTAATAAATTAGACATTACAGGAGCTCTCCATTATTAAGGATTTCTTTGCAAACTACTCTGCATCATATATATGTATCACACATGTTATTAGTGAGGGGAAATGTAAGTGTTGAGATGGTAAATCACAGAGGAATGACATTAAACTGAACTTAAAATACAAATTTAAATAAAATGAAAAAAATGAAGTTCTGCTCGGATCGTAATGTATTTTCTGAACATTGTAAATCTTCCCTTAACAACAGCTCATAGCTGATACTGAAAAGAAAGTGACTTGAAAATTTAAAAAAGTCAGTTAAATATAAATTAAAATTAAGTAAAAAGTAAAAAATTACACAGTGAAACAAACAAGTGGAAACAGACAAATGAGTCAAAGACAAACTCCATCTTTTACTATCTGCATAGTTTTACAGGTCCTGTGCTACAACTACCGTTAACCAAGGGTATTACTACTTCTAGGGCAGCCTTTACTATATCTATTAATAAGTTAATCGTTAAAAATCCTACTACCATCTATGTTGCTAACAATAAGAGAAAACTAAAAGCAGAAGTACAAACAGTACAGTAGTTACTGTTACTGCTAGTAAAACGTCTGAAACAGTCAAATAAGAAAAAAGGTCTGCCCTCCATCTCCAGCCTGACAGAGTTATAAACTCTTATTCAAGGCAAAAGTCTACTTTTTACACATGACTGTAGTGACCATCTGTTACATAAGTGATCAGCTGCACACCAAAAGATGTAGTACGTCAGATATCTCAGTGGGTCTGACGAACCTGCCAATACAATCAGCTGGTGTAACACAAAGACGTTGTTGTGTGCAGAAGAAGTGATGACACTAGGATTTTAATGGTGAAATCATGCGGAGTAGCCATATTTCCTGGAAACCTTTGTAAAATTAGCACATCCAATTATTTCCTCTTTTCTATTTTTTCTTCAGGCGTTGCCAGAATGTTTGCAAAAAAGAAGAAGCCAGGAAATGTTTTACCCACTAACCCCATCCTGTCTGACAGTAAAGCTATAAAATGTACAGGTCCTGCAAAAACTACCCATAATCCTTACTGTTATTATTACCATCAATTCTACCACAAACGTAGACTTCACTACATCTATTAATAGGTTACTACTCCATTTTCAAGAACTTTAACGAAAACTACTACCTATGTAAAATTTCTGTTACTATCATAAATACTGTTATTGCCTCCACCTTATACTAATACTGCAAAATGAACCCTTAAAGTTTGAACCATTGTCTGCTTTCATATTCCAGCTTGACAGCGTTTGACAGCTTAAGATACACAACTTTCCATATGATTTGAAAGTTTTACATCGGAAGTGGACAGATGTCTTCCAACAAGCCTGATAATACACAAAATGTAGTGCTGTCAGCGTTAATCTCGTTAAAATGACGTTAGCGCCATAACCGCATTGACGTGGCAAATCTATGCATTGACACTGCGCAGCCCCAAGCACGGGGCGATCCGCATTAACTCGCTAATGCAGATTTGTCATGTTAATGCGGTTATGGCGTTAACATAATTTTAACAAGATTAACGCTGACAGCACTAACAAAAAATTAATGTATTTGCTGCAGAGAAGAAACGTGCGCAAACGTTTGTATGTTTTTCAGTGACATACAACAAATGAAGTCTTGTAGCGTCTGAAAGAACTCGTTCAGTGATGTCTTGCTCGGTAGGGCTGGATCACCTTGCCCTGAAACACAACATAAGTATAGGGAAGAAGCAGTATTGTGTTAGCACTTTAAGCAGTGGTATTGATATCATAGGTACCAATAGCAGCGTCATCACCAGATGCAAACATAAAACAGTTTTTAGAGATGTTAGGGTGACTGTGGCTCAGCAGATTCTATGCATTGTGGGTGCTCAGAGTAGAAAAGTGCTACACAGCTCAAAAAGATAATGCGTTGACCTCTACGGCTGGTTAGTTAAGTTCCTTGTTGAAGGCCTAAAATGAACATTTTCAGCACTAGTATCTGTGTTTTGAACTGATCATAATCGGTCTGAAGTGTGGTTAAATGGTGCCAGCTACATCTAACTGTGTGGACATGGAGCAAACTCAAGGCCATGAAGACTTCATACAGTTTAAATTGACTAGAGTAGCAAACCCACACACTGTCCATGGGAAGCAGACAGCGTACAAACCTATTCACATACACTATGATTGTTATAGTATGATGCTATTTTATATTGTGACACAGCATTGTAATGTGATATCCTCTTCTGTGTTATATATACAGATATATAGGATTGTGGAGTTGCTAGAAAAATATTTGTAATGCAAAATTAAAACTCACAGTATCAGTTCTGTCAGTAACAGTGGAAGGTTTGTTTACCTGAATAGCCCACAGTGTTTCTGCGTTCTCGTAGATGTGAGCTGAAGGCTCTTCCACCTGTTTGCTGCTTTTGTTCTTCCTCGAACACAGCAGTACCAAAACCCCACCTGCCAACAGATCATTGAGTCACTCCACCTTCAAACTCACAGTCAGGACAGAATGTCTCATAATGAATGTAAGAATATGATCCGGTCTGAATACTGCTGCTATTCTCAAAATGATTTAGTCAAGTAAAATAAAAAAACAACAACAAAATAAATCAAATAAGATATTCAAGCAAAAGAAAATTACTGAAACACTAAAATAAAACAAAAATATACAGGTTATTTGTCAATTTGAACATCTTTGTCCACACTTCCTCTCTGAAGAGGTTTGTGTCATCTTTTCACTGAGACTCAGGTTGTCTACATGACTAACTGGCTTTTCAGAGAGAGGTTGGGTTGTAATGTTTATTCTGAAGTTCTGAAAATCCCATGATAAATGTCCTCTATATCACAATATTTAAGGGAACTAAAAGTAAAACTGAAACTTAGAAAAGCTAAACTGAAATGAGAGAAAACAAACTGAAGCTTTACTGACTTGAAATCAAAAACTCAAAATAAAAAATAAAACCCACGTCAAAAATACAAACTACAAGAACTCCGTTTGATCAGCATTGTTCACTAAGGTGAATGTTGTTGACATACTTTTTTAAGTGATTTGGATTGGCGCAAATTATAAATGATGGACTCATCATCATTTTCCTAGACATAAACTTACTAATCCCACACTGGGGAAATTCACAGACGATTAGGGTTCAGCAAGAAAACCTAAATTAGAGATATATTAGAAAGAAAAAAAAAATATATATATATATATTATATTATGTTAAAGAACTAAATAAGGAAAATAGTGTACAAAAACTATCTAGCAGTTATTTCTACTATTTACTAATGGTTGCTGGGCAACAGATCAGTCGATTAACAACAGACATTAATGAAAGATCAGAAATTGTGTTATGATTGTGATTCAGTCAATGAAGGATGTGGGTGTTCTTGTAGAGGCTCTTTTTCCTGATATTAAAAGAACTTTTTGATCAAAGTTAATCAGAAAATACTTAAAATATCAAACTTTAGTGTGTTTGAAAAGATATAATCATGTTTAAAAATACATAAAACACATCAGAGCACTGAAATTAATTAATCATGGGCGACAAGCCTCAGGTTAAATGTGACTAACACTATTAGTATGCTCTTCTCAAAAAGTCTGTGCAAATATTACCAAACCAGAGGTCACAATATGAGGACAGAGCATGTAGCTGAGCTCAAGTATTTGTGTCCTAACTGTTCCTTTAGTACAGATGTCAGTGAGTCATTTTTCATTTTATTTTATTATTTTTTTTAAATTACCAGCTTTTAAAGCTCCAGTGAACGCTGTGATAGATAAATTTGGGTCGTGTTCATCGGTGAATAGTGTGGCTCGTCTAGTAGTGGATGTCGATATTTACAGTTCAGACCAGAATCTCCTAAACTTATCTCCACTCACACTCACCCATTATCAGGATGATGACAGCGGCAACTGAGACGGATATCATGAGGATGAACTGAGTCATGATGCAGTCCTTCAGCAGGTTGCTGTTGGAGGTATCTGGAGAAAGATGAAAGAGGAACAAAGGAGAGATAATCAATGAAAAAAAAGAAAAAAAAAGTATTGTTTTATTTCTTTAGAACCGTTACAGTTATGATAATTAAAGTTTCCAATCGGGGCATTTTGTGGACAAATTATTCTGAAAACAGTGCAGAAGGTTCACATCTCCAATCACAACCAGTGATCCAAACTAAAGTACTAACAAGTTAAATTAACTTTGATTTCTGAGGCAACTTAAATGTAGAGAAAAGGAAAATATTTAATTGACACACGAACAAGAACGTGTGTACCAACTGTAAGTATACAACTCGTTCTTATTTAGATATGCACGAGATGTCTTCTGGTGTTGGTGCCCTGATCTAATGCTCACACATGAAGTACAAACACAAAGCAAATGGGACACGAGTTCCTCGTCACTCATCCTAATGTGACTAAAGAGGACTGATTTTTTTTTATTTGTGTTTAGTATTACCATGGAGCCAAGACACCAATGGTCAAGCACACTTTCACACCATCTGTGATGACAGCAGTATTCGGCAGAATAGCTCTTCTGATGCTTTTTTAGTGGAGGCATTTGAAAGAAGGGCCAATTTTTAGTTTCTGCTGTCTATTGGTTGTGGGGGCGGGGGAGGGGCAATGTAGCACTTGAGCTCATTTCTGAACGTATTGATTTCATAATTTTCAACAGAATGGTCATCAAAGTCAAATTATTCTGAATCAGGAACCATATGACTACAATACTACTGAAACCCTCACCTCCAGCTAGATCCAATGGTGACCTCAAAGTAATCAGTAAAGCACAAGTCAGTAGATTATAGACAATTTCTATATCTGTTGACCAGATTAAGAAGATTTATGAAAAGTAGACGTTTCCACAAACAGACCGTTTGTTCAGCCTCATCGCCACCATAATTGTAAAACAATGCTTTACTTATTGAGTATTATCACAGTTTTTTTCCTGTTGCATAACTGCTGTATTGATGAAGAAGACAAAACTCTTTTTGCCCCTCAATTTTATTTTATTTTTAACAAATACATTTGCCATATTTTCCATTTTATATGTGTGTTTATTGCCATATACGACGAGTCTATCCATGCTCACATGCACATGGGCTTAAAAGACTGTCACCATAGCCCAATGGTATTGTTGGAGGTTAAGAACAAATATTCACATACATCCCACATTACTGCAAGAATGTGGTCACAACTTTCCTAAAGATGTTGAAACAGTCAAAACTCCTGTTAGACAGCTCAAAATGTGCATTTCTACAAATACATCATGCGATCTGAAGACCAACTAATTTGTTTTGCAGCAATAAAGTAAATTGAAAGTTGGGTACTTACCTAACAAAAGGTGGAAACTCTCCACAAAATGAATGCTGCCTCCTCTCCTGATGCCACAGAAGTAAAGCCTGCAGTCCTCTGCTGTCAAGTTTTTAATCACAAGTTTGTTTCCCAGGATTGAGAATTTGGATTCAAAACCAGGAGAGCAGTAGGTAGAGCCTGCTGAAGAAAAACTGCGGCCGATACATGCTCTGAACTGACTGTGAATCTCCATGTACCAGTATCTGTCTGATGTCTGATTGGAGCAGGTTAGAGTGACATTGGTCCCCAGCTCTCCTCTGACCTCGGTCACGTTCTCGGCCTCTGCACAGAGCAGAAGCACCAACAGGATCATCCACAGGAGAACCATGATTAGCTTCAGCATCCACAACAAGACGGAGTCGTCTGAAAGCAGCTCAGCTCTGATGTGATTCTAAGAGGGAAGTGCTCTACACTTCCTTTTTCAGATGGTCACTTGATATGACATCAGATTTTTTAAAAAACCACAAAAACGAACAAGCGCTCAGGAAGTAAAATTACATTGACCCTTGCTTAAACTCAGTAGCTTGGTTTAGTATTAGAGATATTCAACTGTTTTCTGCAGCTCAATGATTTAATGACAATACTGCAGTAGTGACGCTAGTAATGAGAACAACAGCAACTTTAACAGCAAAATCATTGTATCAGAGATGACAGTGACATGTTTAAAGTAACAGCTTTTTTGTTTTGTTTTTTGGACTGGCTGCTACATGACATAAAAGGCTCATTTTAAATTGTACGGTGTCTTCTGATCTTCTTAAATGTTCCCACGGTCAAGAAATAGATTAGAAATAGAAATATGGATTAAAAGAACAAATATTACATTGTAATAAATGTAATTTTTATTAAACAGTGAAACAAAGTGGAAGCAGACAAATTACTTTTTAATACTGTTACAACAAATCATGAAATATACTGTGTACTGATACTACACATGAAAAAATGAAATGAATCAATCAAATCCCGTGATGTCTTGCTGAAAGAGGGTCGCCTACCCTGAAACAGAAAATGAGTAATCAGTACAGGGTAGTACAAGTAGTACTATTAGATAGTATTACTACTATCACTGTAACTTTTAATAGCTACAGTGATAGTCTTTGCAGCGTTAGCAGCAACACTGAAGGAGTAAAATAGCTATAGAGATCAAAACTTTTTAGCATTTTAACATGTGGGTCTGTGGGCAACTGTCTTTTTTAGAGCCAGACTCACGTCTATATTAGGAAAAATGAGGTTTTTGCTGCTTGACTTTGGCTTTGAAGATAATATTTTGACCCTGGTTCATCTCATTCATTTGACTTGATCATCATGTTTTTCGTGCCAAAACACTGGTGTTCCTGAAGAAACCATACCTCACAATTGAGTAAGGCACTAGCCCTGCCCTAAGTTATGCCCTGCTTTTCATTCTTTCTGCACTAATGTTACCATGACTTCCTAAATGAACATCATGTTTTATTCAGTAAGACCTGAAAGGAGCTCCTGAGGCCATAAACCCACCAGAAAAGTGTTTGCTGAGCCCACTGGAAGCTGGAAGGAGTTTTGTGAAAAACTAAATATAATTCATGATTTAATAGCTCACAGAAGCAACTTTAGGAGCAATAATTTGAAGTAACCATTTCTGTATGACTTTAACCCAACCACAGTGAGACCTGCTGATGTACAGTTGGGAGATGATGGCTGAGAAATGAGTATATCAGAGGGACAGTTCAGGCTGAGCGGTTTGGAGCTAAAGTTAGAGAGGCTGTGATGTCGCATTAGTTTGATTATGTTTGTCCCTGATGCAGCTCATCCAAATGCACATGAAAACATTAATAATGGGGTAAATCAAAAGTTATAGAGACAAGGCTGAGATGTTTTGGGCGCACATAGAGGATGGGTAATAGATATATTGGACAAATTATGTTAAATATGAAGCTGCCAGGCAGTAAAAGAGGAAAAGAAGAAGACCTCAGAGGAGATCAGTGTGACAGAGGAGGATACTATTGCATGGTGGACTGGGGAGAATTTGTTGGAACGTCCTCTCTTGGGAAAACTGTATGACTGTGATAACGCACACCTGGATGATCTGAAGCAGCAAACATAAATGACCAGGAATCTTAAATGAACAAAGCTGTTTTAGATTCTATTAATTTCAGAAGACATCACATGCATATTTCCATTTTGTCATTACGACTTAATGCCTGTTAATGTTCATCATAGCAGCCGAACATTTTTTAAACATTATAGAGAGTGATCCTAGTACCAGTACTGTCAGTAGTCATGGTTTATGCAGCACACACAGCATCAGTTTTGTTAGCAGTCACAGTTTTTACTTACCTGCACAGCCCGCAGTAGCTCTGTAGCATTACAGATGTGACCTGAAGCATCAGTCGTAGCATTTTCTCCTCTTCAAGCACAGCAATATGATGACAAAACCTGCCAACAGAGCTGTGAGTAACTTCTTGTTTATCCAGATGTACAGATCTAGATATATTCTTATAATACACAGATTTCTGTGCAGTCGCTGACAGTATAAAGCTGCTTCCTCACTTGATTGGTCACAGTGCAAAATGATTAAAAGAAATACGGACTGAAGTTTGACCAACACTTCTAATATGTGCTGCCAGAAACATCTATTCAAACATTAGATACTGTGATCTGAAGTTAGAAAATGTGCTAAATTTATCTACTGTGACACACTCACTGATTATTAGAATGACAAAGGCAGCCACTGAGACACAGATGATGATGAGGTGACTCTTATAGCAGTCGTTCTGTGGGTCGTTGGGAGGAACAATGACATCTGGAAACAAAGAGGCAAAAAGATCAACTGGGAACATGTTATAGTTACAAATCAGCAACTTGAAACACACCCACCATCTATAAATTTTCATTGAAAAACATACTTTTCATATATCAGATATATAAGGTAGTATACAGCCATGATAGAAAAAACTCTTATTTCTTTAAACAACAACAACAAAAAACCCATCTAGTTACCTGTATCAATACACCATCTTATTGCTCTGCTGGGGTTTTTGTGTTAATTATTAATTTCTTTTTATTCTTTTTATCCAAAGAAAGGATCGCTTTCACTCAAGAAATCAAGGAAATCAGAATAGGTGCAGCAGTTTGCCTTATGAAATCCAACCTTGAAGCTGCAAGGAACTTTTTTGTACCCAGTGTAAGTTCCAAAAAAGGAAAAAGAAAAATATATCAAGCTCACAAGTTGAGTTATTACTTGTTATGTTCTAACTGCCAAAGTTTTCTTTTACAGTATCTCAGGACATGTTGAAACCCACCACACTGGACCTTCACAGAGGAGAGTTTGAGTCAAAACAAATGGTGGGAAGTTTGGATGTGAAAAAAATAACACATGATCTCATTCCGTTTGCATTCATTCTCACACTTACTAATACTAATGACTATGAAGGTCAGACATGAGAACAAAGTGAATGCAAAAAGTAAAGAACGTGGTCATAGATAACAAGTTAAAACATGCAAAACAGAAAAGAGAAATCCTGTTAGCCTGCTCAAAACCTGCTTTTCTGCAAATACGTCATAAAGCCTGAGAACTAACTAATCATTTGTTAGTCATATGTTCATATGTTTTACAGCAATAAGCAAAAAAACAAAAACAAACAAAAAAAAAAAACTTGGCTACTTACTTGAGACGAGGTGGAAAGATTCCACAAACTGAATGCTGCCATCTCTCTTGATGCCACAGAAGTAAAGCCTGCAGTCCTCTGCTGTCAAGTTTTTAATTATCAGTTTGTTTCCTGTGATTGAGAACTTGGTTTCAAAACCAGGAGAGCAGTAGGTAGAGCCTGCTGAGGAAAAACTGAGGCCAATACATGCTCTGAACTGACTGTGGATCTCCATGTACCAGTGTGTGTCTGATGTCTGATTGGAGCAGGTTAGAGTGATATTGGTCCCCAGCTCTTCTCTGACCTTGGTCACGTTCTCGGCCTCTGCACAGAGCAGAAGCACCAACAGGATCATCCACAGGAGAACCATGATCAGCTTCAGCATCCACAACAAGACGGAGTCGTCTGAAAGCAGCTCAGCTCTGATGGACTCTGACACAGAAGTGCTCTACACTTCCTACTTTACATGGTGACTTCAGTCAGTGTGACGTCTGAAAAAACCAAACAAAACCAAAACCGAAAACAAATCCCCTTAATGTCGCACAGGAACTAAAACTTTACCACTTCCAGGCAGTAGTGTGGCATGTGGGTTAATGTGGGTTCTAACAGCTTCATACTTCATCGGATGACATCTCGGGGAGGCACACTGCCGTGAGTTCTCAGAAATTGGCTGCTTGAGCACAAGAAATGACAACATCACAGAACGCAAGCTCGCGGCTCTCCAACGGGAGATTGAGAGATCAGTGTTGGACTGCAGAACTGCTTCGAAATTCATATGAGCTGTTCGCACTAAAGTAAAAAATACCATCACTTATGCGGATACCCCTCTGGCGCCAACTGCAAGGCCAGAGCTGAACAAAACACCCTGATAACGACTGTGTTTAGTCTGTTCCTTCCCATTCCATGCAAGGCCACCTGGGTTGGCTGGAAGACTGTTTACTTAGCCTGGCAGGGTGGAGGACACTGTGTCAGCTGAACTATGGACACGCACACGCAACCTGAACCTGAGCAGGTAAACCTACAGCCGTAAACCAATAACAAACTCATCCTACATGATAAAAAAATGCTGTCTTCCTCAGCTTTGTCCCAGCATTTGTCAACAGGACACAACCACAAAACGAGAGAAACAACACATTTACTGAGTGGTAGTTAAGCTAGCTCCCCTTAAGAGAGATGTCCAGTCCAGCTGCAACTTCCAGGTCTAGGGCCCATTTTCTTTCCAATGGTAAGCACAGCTCTCTCTTCAGCACCACAGAGTGGCGCGGAGTTCCCCCCACTTCACATGCTGCACCAGTCTGTCTGATAAGTTTCTGCTCCGATTTCCCTAAAACTTCACTTGAAACAACATCTTTTACCAAGTTAGAAGTGGGTACTCTGCACGTTTCCACTTGAGAATCATGACACGATCACCATGCCAGTCACCTCACACTCAGCTGCAGCCAACAATGATGGTTTTCCAACTGAAAACCATCAGTTAAGTGGGAGCACTGATTGAAATATATTTTAAAATAGGGACTTAACTCTTTTGCTTAAAAATCAATTATCACCCACACAGCTTAATACAAATGCAAGAAAGTTAACTGTTTTAAGGCCTCAGCCTTCAGACGCAGCACTCTCCTGATTGGTTTAAACAGCCAGTCATTCATAGGCTGATCAGATCATGAATGTCTCCATGACACTCTGACTCAGGTGGACCTGCAGCAGGGAGCTCCAACATACTGAAACACTAAAACAATGAAAGGGAAGAAAGTTCAATCTCAGCATGTTTGCTGCTGGACTTGGAGGCTCTGAGTTGATAAGAACGTCTTCTTCCACATGTGTGTTAGTGCATAATGGTGCTTTTATAGATTAGAGTTCATTCCTACAGCTCTGTCATCATTTAAGCTTCAGTAAAATTATTTAAGTGAGGTCCTACTGATCATTGTTACCACCTGAAAATAAAGTACTTTATTTGCTGCTTTATTTTTACACATTGCAACTTAGAAGCTTTCTTTTTTTTTGTAAAAGAAGCTGGGTGCTTATATGAGATGAGGCAGAACATGTGCACAGCATAAAAAATGTCCTTCAGTCAATCCAATCACTCTGTGTTTCTCAGAATTAAACGTTGGCTTCAAAATCAAGAAGCAGTACATAGAAACTGTAAGTGACACATTGCACCTGATGCATCATCTGAACTGACTGTACCAGTGTTTACCTGAACTGCCATAAGAGCAGGTTAGAGTTAGAATCACGTTCTCGGCCTCTGCACAGAGCAGAAGCACCAACAGGATCATCCACAGGAGAACCATGATCAGCTTCAGCATCCACAACAAGACGGAGTCGTCTGAAAGCAGCTCAGCTCTGATGTGATTGACAAATTATTGCTCTACACTTCCTGTTTCACACAATCAGTTTGGCTGTTGTAATGTTGCACAAAAAGCCATACCAGCTTTTCACGCCTCTGCCCTAACATCTGCAGTTTCAGTTAATACAGCAGATTTTCAGCTCTTACTGACTGATTTTTGATGATGGTACCAAAATAGTAAAACAACACTTCAACAGCAACATTGTTGTACATCAAAAGCTATCAAAAGCTGTTATAGCATCATAAATAACTTTCAGAAGAGGACAAAAGGTCTCTAATACTGACTCTAATGCTAAAAAAGTAGTACTAGTAGTACATATGATTTGATAAGTAACGAAAACATGAGAGCCAAAACTGATCGTCAGCTCATCATGTCCCAGCTGATCAAGTGGCTTCACCTCTTGTCTCCAAGCTGTTACTGCAGAAACACATTCATACACATATTAAGTAAAACAAATCAAAGTAGATAATAACTTCAATGAGGTGGCACATTTTCTAGTACTATAACACTGCCAAAACACGTACTACACCATTTGGTAGTACTGACACTACAGACCCAACTCTATCTTGTACTTCTACGTCTGCTAGTCAGGGTACACCCTGGAAAGGTTGCCAGTCTGTCGCAGGCTAACACAGAGAGGTAGACAACCATTCAATTCATAACCAATTAATCAAACCACACAAAGCACATATTTTGACTATGGGAGGAAGCCGGAGGACCTGCAGAGGACATGCAAACTCCACACAGAAAGGCCACGGCCAGATGGTGGATTCAAACCCAGGACCTAACCGCTCGGTGCTACCCACCATGTTGCCCCTTCTGTAGTACATAATCGACTTATTTGTACACATGTGTAATGATCATCAGTATCTGGAATATTAATGACTTTGTGTTCAGCTGCACTGTAAACACCAGCAGATCCAGAGTGATGGGCCTTGAAGGGATCATTTTATATATGAATTGGCCTTTAAAAGAGGACCTGAGGAGACAAGTTAAATCCAGGTACTTTGATCAGGAAATGATGACAACAAAATTTTAGTGACATCATTTGGAGTATGTGTGGAACATTGTGTACGATTACCACATCAAATTACTGACCTTTTACTGTGTTATTTTTTAGTTATTCCATAGAATTCTTGCAAGAAAGTAAAAGTCTTTCCACAAACACAAACAAGAATCAGCACTTTTAGAAAGTTTACTACATCTATAATTAGTCTACCCCTCTATTTGTTCTATTAATGGGACTTCTACTATTCTAATTATTGAGAACAACAGTTGCTCCATATTGATCATGACAAATAATGAAAAAAACAGCTCTTTCTGAGTAGTCGTGTTTTCCTTGTAAGCTGTACATGATGACCACATTAAATCACTCCCCTTTGCTGACTTTAGTTTTACATAATACACTTTTTTTTTCAGGAAACAAGTCATGGCATAAACAATGGAAACAAGCAAAAACATCATTATTTTTATATCCAGTTCGGTCACATAGTGCTGCCGTAAATCCTACCATAGGCTTAGGGATGGGGCAAGCAGGGCTAACACAGAGGCTATGTCCACACTAGCCCGGATAAATTTATAACGGCGTTTTTGTCTGAAACGCTCCGCGTCCACACTAGCGTTTACAGTCGTTTTCGCAGAGTTGAAAGAGAGAGAGAGTTAAAGAAATAGAAGAAAAGCTATCTGGAGCATGTACAGACTGATATTAATCTTTAATAGGGCTGTCAAAATTGAGAGCAAACAAAACAACTGCTGTATAATGCCCTCCGCTATCTTAGTTTAATTGATCATGTGACTGCATCATATAACTAACATGCGTCATTGTTTTAGAAAGTCTTCGTTTTCACGGTCCATACTGTGAAGCGAAAACACCGTTTTCAAATCATTGCGTTTTGTAGAGCGTTTTCAAAACGTTGCATTTTCCTTGAGCGAAAACACCGTCTCAGTGTGGACGGGAAGCCAAGGAGAAAACGATGCGTTTTCAAACAAAAATGCATTAGTGTGGACGTAGCCAGAGAGACAGACAGTCGTTTGGATTTACATTCACACCTATGGCACCAATTAACCTAACCCCACTAATTGCATGTCTTCGGACTACCTAGAACTACTCACGATCCTGCTACTACTGCTATTAATACTACCACAAGTATGGACTTTATGACTTCTATTACTAGATTTCTACTGAATTTACAAGCATTTTACGCCAAATTGTTAACACAACAGAGGGTGTACTTAGGCCTCCTTTAACAATTAAGATACGTGTAATAAATGTGGGCTGTTTGTAGCTGTGGAGGAAAGACTAAGTGAATTAGAGACCTAGTTCCCCACCCTCGAAAGTCCTGTATGTAGTCAATATCCATTAGTCTCTGTAAGCAAAGGTACCTTAGTTAACATTAGTCCCCAGTAGAATGTCCTGAGCATCCAGGAACTCAGGCTGGCTGGATGAGGATGAGGATATGGGTGCAGTGTAGCCCTAAATAGAAGCCTCTGTGCTGGCACACTACCAGTCTGTTCACGTTTCAAAGAGCTTTTCCCCAGTTGGTGAAACATCTACGAGGAAGAAACAAACTCTGGTTATTGGCGACTCGATTTTGAGAAAATGGAAAGCAAGACAATACAGCAGCTATTGTCCATTGGCTTCCAGGGACCAGAGCAGCTGACATTAAATAAATACTGAAACTGCTGGCTAAAGATAAACATAGATTTAGTAAAAGAAAATAATTCACCAGTAATGACACCTGTCTACATCAATCAGAGGTCAGTAAAAAATTATTTCAGCAAACAAAATTACAAAGAAATAATTTTTATTGAAGTATCCTCAACTGAATCAAAGACAAAAGAAACAGTTAAATGTGGATTCTTCAACAGTTACGTTTCACTCTTCAAAGCCTCTTAGTACATGCTTTAATAACTGACCAAGATATGACTTCATTTTATCTTACAGAAACCTGGTTACTGACTAAAACGGGTCCTATCTATTTTTTAAAGATAGCTGCTAATTTGTCCAATATTCCTGTTTCTTCAGGAATGTGATCTATTGAAAGCAGCAGTGGTGAGGTAGGTTTATGTTTCAGTGTGTGATTACATAAATAAGATCTCTCATTTTTAAAATAAGTACACATTAGCCTCTCATTTGGCTTCTTTAATAAATTGAACTGATGGAGAGAGTTTTGCAGGCACATGATGGGGTTTGCTCATCTGTGTTAATTACAGGAACACAGTACTGTGACTATTTTCTCAGTACTGTGCACACAAACAAAACAAAGCAAATTTGACAGACAGATGTCACTGAGTGCACCTCTCTCTGCACACAGTAAAAATTAAACAAAATTAAGAGCCAGAACACATTATCTTACCATCTGTCCAATAAATGCCTGAATGCGATTTAACTGAATGGACTGGTCTTAAATTTGTTTTGTTACCAACAGGGGTGATTCTAGGATTAGAGCTTTGGGGGTGCTGAGCACCCAGAGAGCTGCCCAGCCAGGCAAACTTTACACGTCACGATGAGACTTCTTCCCTGTCTCTGTCAGTCCCTGCATCCTTAAATGTTTTCAAAATATTAATTTAAAAAAACTATAAAAATGGAGGCAACTTTGCCTGTAGTAGAATATATAAAATGTATGAAAAAATCTTTACTGCAGATAATAATTTTACTAATTTAATAATAATACTTTCATGCTTTCATAGTGGTACTTAGGAGAGCTTGACATTTTATCAGGTGGTACACACTGTAAAAAGTTTGAGAAACACTGATAAGTGTATGTGTGCTTTTGGAAAACATTTAAAGCCGCAGTACAGAATCTTTGAAACAAGCTTAAAATTTTTTTAGAATATAAACAGAGCACTCTGCTTCTCTTTACAGCTCCTCACTCCACCAGGGCACCATTTGGCACTTTCTGATAGTGTGCAAATGTGATGTACGTACTGCAGCAGTCATACAGACAGCTGAATGGTCCAAAAGTTGGCCGACCTATTACTGGCTGAGGTTTTAGTAGAGTTGTGGCTGAACCACATAAAAATATATCATTAATTTTAATCTCCCCAATCAATGATAATATTATGTTGGAATGTTGTTAAAGAGGGTCAAAAATGTTTCAACCCAGTTTGTTTTGCAGATTCTGTGTAGCAGCTTTAATATAGGGAGAACACAACTTCCAGATTGTGTGAAATCAATTTTTTTCTCTTTGTCAGTTTAACAGTTTCTGTTGTGCCTGTCACTGTTCCCTGTCTGTTTTCTTACCTGGTTCTTCCTGACCTTGTACTTTCTCCTCATGTTCCCTCTTTCCTCTCTCCCTCTTCGGACTGACAATCATACACAAATAGATTGTATTCAATTAGATGAAAAATTACATTCATATGAAAAAAGAAATACTACTAAGATCAATAATGATAGTCCTCTCTCAGTGTACTTTCAACCAAAAGGCAAATAACCAAACCGCATAAACATCTAATAAAAGATATAAATATTGAAACACTGAGCCAACATTATTCTTGATTCACTGATCATTTGATTTTACACTTTTACCTGAATGTGGCTCCTTTTTTTTGAAAAAAACTTCCTTATATCCCTTATAAACATGGCTGTCTCGCTGTACACACACACACACACACACACACACACACACACAACAGGAGTTATAAGGTTAACGGGCATTCAGTCAATTAGCTAGTTAGTATCCATTTCTAACAGGACAGTGGTAACAACAGTAGGCTACGTTTTAGATTTTAAATAGGCTGTATAAATTTCAATGGGAGCAACAGGACAATGAAATGTTGCTGATTTTACTACAGTGTAGGATGGATTGTAGGGTAGCAAACATTGTCAGAAAACAAGTTTTCAACACAGCAGGTTACCTGGTGT